AACATGTTTTTTTAAGAAGTGTATTAGCATTTTTTAGGGAGTTAAGGATAGAAAAAAATAGTTTTAGTACCGTAATTACATTATTTATGGGAACCCGAATGTATATCTGGTTGCACATGCTCAAAAGAGCTGATGGTACGGATCATGCTTTCGGGACGGATAGGGTAGTGACAGGGAGCTAGCATTCTTCTTCGTCTCTTCTCTAGGAGCCATATGTAGAGCTCCCCCTACAGGTTTGGTGGGAGATAGTTCAGTAGATATCAGCGGCTTATTTATGTACGTTTCCAGTTATTAAAAAAATAACTGGGCGTGGTCAATAGTGGGGTGCGCTCTATAGTACGGAAAATACGGTACATAAAAATTAAGAATCATTTTTGTTTTATTATTATTATTTTTTTTTTTATGTGCTCATCCCTCTATGGATTTCTTTTGTCCTCTTTCTTTACTCACCTATTAAGTATATTAACTAGAACATACATACATATATTCATTTATTTGGGGTTATAATTATATTATTATTATAATGAATGCAGTTATATTTATTTTATTTTTTTTTTGTTTTTTTTCTTTTTGCATGTGTGCATCTTTTTACATTTTTGATTATCTATATGTTTTTTTTTGTCCATGCTCCCCTCTCCTTTATCATAAATTTATCATAACTATCTGTTATTAGTTTTGTAAGCGCACACTTAAAAAAAAGAAGGATGGATAGAAACACAGATGGAGTTGGTAGGAAAAAAACTTCAAATTAATTATTTTCCTTTTTGGTTTTTTCAGACCAAAACGAGCTTTTAACTCCAAATCTTCCCAGTTGAAACTGTTACTTAATTTTGAGGTGTTTTAAGTCTAAATTCTTCCAAATTAGCTGAAGATAATCTTCACCAATGCCATTGAAATCCTTTGAAAAACATGAAAAGTTACCGTTAACCGAGTTTGTCGAATGACTCAGAGGTAGGGCTGGCTGATAGCTGAAAATCGTGCGACGCAGAGCACACTGTATTCTGATAACATCAGGTGCAACATGTGCCTATTTTCTTCTTTCCCGCTTCTCTTATCAGTCTGGGGCCTTTAGCATTTCATGAAGTAACATTTGTGTCCAATCTGAGCAAAAAAAATTTTTTAAATTCATTACATTTAGAAAATATTCTGCAGCTTTTAAGCACATCAGCTACAAAAGCTTCATCGTTCCCTACGCCGAAAGCTTGACAGCCACAAAATGAAACGTTGGCAGATAAGATTGTCTTATCTGTATTTTCCTGCTTATAATAACTATAAATGATTAACAAAACCTCCCTAGAAACTCTCTGAACAATGCTGGAAACAACCAAAACAATAAATTAACCCGTTTCCACAACAAACTCCAGAGTTATCTAATCCAAATAAACAGGCATTCTCTGCTCGGCACTTTGCAAATTGTTCCATCTTTGCTGCATGTGTGAAACTAACAACAAGACTTCCTGTCTCGGTGCTCTCTGCGTTCATTCCTCAAGCCTTATCTATTCAGCACTCGTCCTCTTGGTATCCTGTCTTCAAAATAGCTCCAGATCCTCTTCGGAGGGCGACCGTCTCACCCTCCTTTCCCAAGGCAATACAGCCGCTCGATTAGATAAACTACGCCGGCATGCAGACATAACAAGCACTCTGCGGCCAAATTCTACTGCAAACATGCAAGGAAAGGTGTGGCAGGTTTGGGTTTACTTTATTATGGACTGTTTAATGCAAACCAGGGGGAACAATAACAAATATTTGATGTAAAATCAACATTTTGCACACAGCTCCCAATAGTTCCACAATCCCAAATACTCCATTGATTAAAGATAAATGATCAACACCAATAATTTCAAACAAATGTGTTCAATTAAAATAAACATTGAAAGCAATAATTATTTCTTAATTACGGTATTAATGCGGAACAGATTGACAGAAAGGGAATTTAATGTATTAAAAGTCTGTGGCTAAACAAGTACAATCCTATTGATTAATCTTTGTATCACATCAAATAAACAATATTTGGAATAATTTTAAATGATATATTTTCACATTTAATATTTGTACCAACAAATGATGATTATATCAATTGATCCCCTTTAAATTTTCCATCCTATTTCTACTGAATTGTGGAACTTTTCTTTTTTTAAAGTTAAAATTATGTCAAATTCCAACATTAAACCTTGATACTACAAGGTAATAACAAGTGTACATAAATATTAAGTTCCCTAATACTGCATGTTGTTATTATCTACAGTCAGTTTGGATGTATTACTCAAATAAAAAGAAAATTAACTCCCTCCAATGACATCATCTGATGTTAGATGCTGCTTACCAAAGACATTTAAAGCCATCCTGATGACCAGGGAAGATGAACAATTCACCAGCAGATCCCAATTTTGTCCAATTTCGGACTCCCGTATTTCAGATCCTGGCAGAAAGGAAACATAGTTATAAGAAAGTAACCGGGATCAACCCGGCCTGATAACAGCATTAGGAGCCCAGTAACGGTACAACAATAAGTGATCAGAGGGAGAGCTAACGTTAGCTGATTCATGTAGCCCTTCCTCCGCTGCTATGAAGAAGCAAAGCCCAGACGGAGCGAAATGTTTTCTGCTTCTTACAGGAAAACAGCGACATAGCGCCGATAGAAATTACCAAACAACACGCCGGCGTGGAGGATTGCAGCGACTAGCTAAATATACTCACACACTTACATCCCATTCTGCATTATAGTCGCCATCTTGCCAGGTCACGTGAGCAGCCTTGCCTTCTTGGGGGGTAACTATAGCAACAGACCGTCACTCCCGCTTCGAGATATGTTTGACCCGGACAGCTCGGGTTAAATTCGGTATACTGTCTATATTGTCTTTAAAACACATGCATATAGAAAAAAAGCATATAGCTGTAGTGACATGGACACGTTGAGGAATAATATCTCATGTTTGTGCCATGACATTCATGGCCGGTTAGCTCAGTTGGTTAGAGCGTGGTGCTAATAACGCCAAGGTCGCGGGTTCGATCCCCGTACGGGCCAACTCTTTTTTTAACGATTGTATCCATGCCACAGTATTTTTACACAATACTATAAAAACACTTGAAGAAAAATGACTCGACCCACCAAGGGATTTACTATCTTTGAGTGAAAAGATGATACCTGTACATGTATACCTAAAATGGCTAATCATACAAACAGTCAACAACTTGGCTCTTCCTAAAGATTACTCTAAAACAGATAATTTGGTCATCAGAGCATATAACATGTTTAGTAAAATATAAACATGAAGCAAATACATACTTCTATTCCAACTATGAAGCATGGAAGTGGAAGTGTCACGGTTTAAACCATTAAAGACATAGTGGAGGATGCATTTTTTTTTTTTTAAGTGGTTTATTATCTGCTCAACGTTCAGTGGCTCAACGGATGGGGCAGGTTCACTGGATTCTCTGGTTAAGAGTTTTTCTTCACAGCATGCAGTGAGTTCCAGGAGAGAACTCTGGGTGCAGGCAGAATCCAGCAATCAGTCCAAAAACAGATCAGGCAAACAGAGTAGAAAAGGGGCAAACAAAACTCAGAAGTCCAGAGGCAGAAACTTTTCAAGATCAAGTAATCAGAAACACACAGGAATGCTAGAGTTACTCGAACGCAGCTTGAATAATCTGGCACCAATGGCTGGGAACAGGCAGCTTAAATAAAAAGCAGGAATATGTGGATCTGATGAGTGACAGGCGGAGCTAAATAGATGTGAGAAAAGAGCCAAATCCAGCTATCACTGCCAAGATCATGACAATACAGTGAATTGATTGGAACAGTTAATAAACGAAAGTATACTCCATGTAAGTATTTGTTTACGTTTTAGTTGAATAGCAGATATTATTCACTTTATTGACTTTTGTAGATTTAGGAACAGCATCCCTGTTTTTGTTAGCATCTATGTGCATTAAAAAAAATGTAGGAACAAAGGATGTTTCATTGCACCCTCAATTAAATGTTTCAATAAACATATTTCTACCAAAAATAAACAAAGAACATCCATCCATCATCCGTCACCCTTTTCCCAATTGGGGTCGCGAGGGGTGCAGGTTCCTCAGAATCAGAATCAGGTTTATTGCCATTGTTAGTGAAGGAGTTCACAAACTAGGAATTTTTTATGGTACAATCATGCAACATAAAACATATAATATGGAATAGGTAAATAAAATATAAAAATATCTAAAACAGTGTGGGTATAAGGCATGCAATAAAATAGACTAATAGTTATCTCCAGCTGTCTACAGGCAAGAGGCGGGGTCCACCCTGGACAGGTCACCAGTCCATTGCAGGGCAACACAGAGACGAACAGGATAAACATCATTCACACACACACACACACACTCACACCTAAGGAGAATCTAGAGAACCCACTTAACCTAACAGTCATATTTTTGGACTGTGGGAGGAAGTCAGAGTACCCAGAGAAAACCCACACATGCTCAGGGAGAACATACAAACTCGATGCAGAAAGACTCTGGAACACAGAAAATGTAACAAGTCATATTAGGGGGATGGATATGTACATTTAGACATTCAGTACAGGGGAAAACAGACATTATAATTTAAATAAATTGACCGATGAAGGCACTCATATATGTATGCACTGTGTATTTATGGCTATATTTGTTTGTCCCTTTTTAAATATTGGAGAGATACCATTCAGTTTCAGTTGGAGAAAAAGGAAAGAATGATGAGAAGTTACATGAATAAGTCAAATCTTATGAATCTTCTAGTTATATCAGGCTTTTTTCCCATGCAAACCAAAAACATGTTTATAAAGATTTAATCCAAAATGATTCCATAGTTCCATCATTTTTTTTATTGTTTGTTTTTGAAAAATGTTCAATGGGGGAAAGGTTTAAGGTATTTCCATGTTTGTATTGGCGCTAACAGCCAATAGGCGGCACTATTGCGCAACCTATTGGCTGCGCGCGCTCCGCGCCCCATGCGCCAGGGCGCACCACCTCCACCACTTCCACCAGCTCCACCAGCGTCAGCAGCGCTGGAGGCGGTGTGCAGCTCTTCATTGTTCTGCTAGAAAAGCCCGATCCGCGGCCCGGACGCGTTTTGTTTCGAATGGCCGCGGCTCCAAATCCACGTCCCACCTGAAAGGGAGAGATCCATTTGTGCGGTGGATCAGGATTTCTGCGTGATCCGTGGGAAGGATATAAAAGCCTTTTGGTGGGCAGGGACTGTGCGTGGATCCAGGAGGAGGAAGACGGGAAGGCATCCCGGATCATTGAGCTTCCCTGGTTTTCTTGCAGGGCGCGATTTGAAGGTGATTAAGTTTTTTTTTTTTTTTTAGGCAGGTTTGTGCGTAAATTGTTTGCTTTGCTTCACAGTAGTCGAAAGACGCTCCTGTTGCAAAGCAGCCTGGTTGTTTTCCTAATCCTCTGAGCTTTAGGGGGTCCAGCTGAGCCACTGTAAGCTTAATAACATGCAACCATATCCCTCTACTTGGTGTTTTCTGTTTACCCTACAGCTCTGAAGAGGCGTTTTAGTCCTACTCTTATACACACCTGGGGAAAAAAAAAACGGAGGTATCTAATATATCTGGACTCCTCTTGTCTATTTGAACAAAACAGAGAAATAATAGTAATCTAAATAAACATTTAATTCTAATTAACATTGCATTTCACATTAGGAGCATTTTAGAAAAGTTGGCTGCTTTTAAACCTAGTAGGATGCTCCTGACTTCTGAGGTGAGAGTCATCCAAAGAGCTGCTAAGGTCCTCAGAAAGAAGATTGCAGCAGCTTATGAGTCTGGTAAGGGATTTATCTGTTGAAATCATCTCTGCTTCTGTGGGTCTAGAGGTGGGTGGTTTAAAAAAAAAAAAAAGAAACACCTAATGTGTCCAGAAGTGGTCATCCAAACTTGAGTTCAACTTGAAAGCCGACCTGAAGACACTAAAAGTAAACCTCCAAGTCCATCAGTGTGTCTACAGCAGTGGGCTTGTGGCCCAAATGTTGAAAAACACATGCTAAAGGGCCCTTTTGGAAGCCCAAATGCATGCTAAAGTGCCACCTAAGGAGCTAAAGAGTGTGCTAGGGTAACCTCTTGGATGCCAAAATGTGTGCTAAAGTCCCCCCCTGGAAGCAAAAGCACCTGCTAAAGTTCCACCTTGTGAGCAAAAGGGCATGCTAAAGTCCTCTCCCAGGAGCCAAAGGGCATGCTAAAGTCCTCTCCCAGGAGCCAAAGGGTGTGCTTAAGTCCTCTCCCAGGAGCCAAAGGTTGTACTCAAGTCCTCCCTCAGGAGACAAAGTGTGTGCTAAAGTCCCCCCACAGGAGCCAAAGGGCGTGGTAAGGTCCCCCCTCAGGAACCAAAGTACCCTCTCAGAAGCCAAAGGGCGTGCTAAGGTCGACCCTCAGGAGCCAAAGGGTGTGCTAAAGTACCCCCTCAGGAGCCAAATGGCGTGCTAAGGTCTCCACTCAGGAACAAAAGTCCCTCCTCAGGAGCCAAAGGGCGTGCTAAAGTCCCCCCTCAGGAACCAAAGGGCGTGCTAAAGTCCCCCACAGGAGACAAAGGCTGTGCTAAAGTCCCCCACAGGAGACAAAGGCTGTGCTAAAGTCCCCCACAGGAGCCAAACGGCGTGCAAAGGTCCCACCTCAGGAGCCAAACGGCGTGCTAAGGTCCCCCCTCAGGAACCAAACGGCGTGCCAAGGTCCCCCCTCAGGAGCCAAACGGCGTGCCAAGGTCCCCCCTCAGGAGCCAAACGGCATGCCAAGGTCCCCCCTCAGGAGCCAAAGGGCATGTATTGGTCCCCCCTCAGGAACCAAAGGGTGTACTAAGGTCCCCCCTCAGGAGCCAAAGGGCATGCTATGGTCCCCCCTCAGGAACCAAATGGGGTGCTAAAGTCCCCCCACAGGAGCCAATGGGCATGCTAAAGTCCCCCACAGGAGCCAAACGGTGTGCCAAGGTCCCCCCTTAGGAACCAAAGGGTGTGCTATGGTCCCCCCTCAGGAACCAAATGGGGTGCTAAAGTCCCCCCACAGGAGCCAATGGG